TTCTGGAATGGCTGCACCTGGAGCTGGGGCTGCCCTGCTGGGGGGCCATCGCCGCAGGTGGGGGAAACCAGGGGGTTTTGGGGGAAAAAACGGGGTTTTTGGGAAAAAAATTGGGATTTTGGGGAAAAAGTGGGATTTTTTTAAAGGAAAAATTGGGGTTTTTTTGGGGAAAAAAAATGGGATTTTGGAGGGAAAAATTGGGATTTTTTGGGGAAAAAGTTGGGATTTTGGGGAAGAAAAAGGGTTTTTTTTTAGAAAAAAATGGGGTTTTGGGGAAAAAAAAGCATGGTTTTTGGGAAAAAATTGGGATTTAGGGGGAAAAATTGGGATTTTGGGGAAAAAAACGGGATTTTCTTGAGAAAAAAATTGTGATTTTTGGGAGAAAATTCGGTGTTTTGGGAGAAAATTTTTTTGGGGGATAAAATAGAGGTTTTTTGGGGGAAAATTGGGATTTAGGGAAAATATCAGGGTTTTGGGGGAAAAATGGGATTTTTTGGGAAAAACCTGGGATTTTGGAGGGAAAAAGGAATTTTGGGGGGAAAAATTGGAATTTTGGGAGAGAAAAATTGGGATTTTGGGGGGAGAAAAATTGGGATTTTGGGGGGAGAAAAATTGGGGTTTTGGGGGGAGAAAAATTGGGATTTTGGGGGGAGAAAAATTGGGATTTTGGGGGGAGAAAATTTGGGATTTTGGGGGAGAAAAGTGGGTTTTTTTGGGGGGAAAAATTGGGATTTTTGGAAAAAAAATCAGGTTTTTTGAGGCGTGAAATGGAACTTTTTAAGCGAAAACCTGGGGTTCTGGGGAAAAAAAAAAAAAAAAAATGGGAATTTTGAGGGAAAAAAATGGGATTTTTGCCAAACGAAAATTGGGATTTTGGTGGAAGGAGCCGGGGTTGGCCGAAATGCCGTGATTTCACCCCAGATTTTGTTATTTTTTCCCTCTCTTGCAGGCACGGTGGGGGCCCGTCTCCTCCTGCTGCCCCTGGTGCTGCGGGGCCAGCGCGAGGCCGCCCGCCTCTCCCGCCACCTCCCGCAGCTCCAGCGCCTCTCCCGGCGCCTGGCCGAGGCGCGCCGCGGCGCCGACGCCAACCAGGGTGGGCGTGGCTCCGATTCTGGGGCGATTTCGCCAAGTTTTGGGGGCTTGGGGGGCGAAATTTGGGCGAGAAAAGGCGAAAAAATGGGGTTAAAATGGCCAAAAATGAGGTTGAGTGGGCGTGGCTTAAGGGGTGTGGGCGTGGCCTGAGTGGGCGTGGCCTAAATGGGCGTGGCTTCATTTTGGGGCGATTTCGCCAAGTTTTGGGGGCTTGGGGGGCGAAATTTGGGCGAGAAAAGGCGAAAAAATGGGGTTAAAATGGCCAAAAATGAGGTTGAGTGGGCGTGGCTTAAGGGGTGTGGGCGTGGCCTGAGTGGGCGTGGCCTAAAGGGGCGTGGCCTTAAACTTGGTGAAGATTTGGGAGCTTGGGGTGAAATTTGGGTGAAAAAAGACCGAAAAACGGGGTAAAAATGGCTAAAAACGGAAATTTGGGGGCGTGGCTTAAGGGGTGTGGGCGTGGCCTGAGTGGGCGTGGCCTAAAGGGGTGTGGCTTTAATTTTGGGTCAATTCCGTGAAGATTTGGGGGCGAAATTTGGGTGAAAAAAGACCCGAAAAAAGGGGTTAAAATGGCTAAAAATATAAATAAGTGGGCGTGGTTTAAGGGATGTGGGCGTGGCTTTGTGAGGGTGTGGCCTGAAGGGGGCGTGGCTTCATTTTGGGGCGATTTCGTGAGGTTTTGGGAGCTTGGGGGCGAAATTTGGGTGAAAAAAGGCGAAAAAACAGGGTTAAAATGGCTAAAAATGGAAATTTAGGGGCGTGGCTTGAGGTTCTTGGGGGCGTGGCTTAAAATCGGGGGCGTGGCTTAAAGGTTTGGGGGCGTGGCTCCAAATTTGCATATTGAAAAGGCCCAAAAAGGGTTTAAAATGGAAATATGGGCGTGGCTAAAGCAAGGGGTGTGGTCTAGGGGCGTGGCTTAATGCAGGGTGGGGCTTGGTTCCATATATGGGCATGGTGTGGGCGTGGCTTATTCTTAAAGGGACCTCACCGCATTTTAAATTTTCATATTTTTTTACCATTTTTGGGGGTTTTTTCATCATTTTTGTGGGCGTGGCTTCACCTAAAAGGGGCGTGGCCTCACCTATTGATTTATTCCCTATAAGGAATGGGGTGGGCGTGGCTTCTTCTTAAAGGGGCCTCACCCCATTTTAACTGCTATTATTTTTTTTGCAATTTTGGGGTTTTTTCCCCCAATTTTTTTGTGGGTGTGGCCGGTCTGGGGGTGGGCGTGGCTTGCTGGCCCCGCCCCTCCGGGCTGACCACGCCCCCTTTTTTTTAACCCCCTCAGTGGCCGTGGCTTACTCGGAGCTGGTGTCGTACCAGCGGCGCCACGACGTGAATCCGCTCCGGGGTTTCCTGGTGCCCCTCGTGCAGGTTTGGATCAAACACCCCCAAAAAATTCGGGAATCGTCCCGAAAAAATTTGGGAATTGTCCCGAAAAAATTTGGGAATCGTCCCAAAAAAAATTTGGGAATTGACCCGAAAAATCTGGGAATTAACCCCCAAAAAATATGGGAATTAACCCAAAAAATTTGGGAATTTATGGAAAAATCTGGGAATTAACCCCCAAAAAATATGGGAATTAACCCAAAAAATTTGGGAATTGTCACCAAAAAAAAATTCGGGAATTAATTAAAAAAAAAAATCCGGGAATCGTCCAAAAAAAAAATCTGAGAATTGTCCCGAAAAAAATTTGGGAATTGATCCGAAAAATCTGGGAATTAACCCCCAAAAAAATGTGGGAATTAACCCAAAAAATTTGGGAATTTATGGAAAAATCTGGGAATTAACCCCCAAAAAAATGTGGGAATTAACCCAAAAAATTTGGGAATTGATCTGAAAAATCTGGGAATTAACCCCCAAAAAAATGTGGGAATTAACCCAAAAAACTTGGGAATTGACCCGAAAAATCTGGGAAATTTATGGGAAAAATTGGGGAATTTATGGGAAAAAAAATTCAGGAATTAAACAAAAAAATATTGGGGAATTTATGGAGAAAAAATTGGGGAATTAAGGGGAAAAAAATTCGGGGAAAAAAACTTAAATAATCAGAAAAAAAAATAATTTAAAAAACCCCCAAAATAGCCAAATTTCCTGGGATTTTTCCCGGATTCCGGAAGGTTCCAGACCCCATAAATCCCTTAAAAATTCCCGAAAAAATGGGAAAAAAAAGGAAACTTTTTAAAAAAATCAAGAAAAAAAACGCCAAAAATCAGAGAAGAAACCGAATCAGAAAAAAATCAGAAAAAGACTTTAAAAAATTTCAAAAAAATACAAAAAAAACCCCCAAAATTCCCAAATTTTTGTGGAATTTTCCCTAAATTTTGGCAGATTCCAAACCCCGTAAATCCCTTGAAATTTCAAAAAAAAATCACCTTAAAATCAAGAAAAAAAATGCCAAAAATCAGAAAAAAAAACATAAAAAAATCAGAAAAAAGCTTTTAAAAGTTCCAAAAAAACACCAAAAACCCCCCCCAAAAAAAAAAATCCCAAATTTTTGTGGATTTTTCCCTGATTTTGGGGATTCCGGACCCAATAAATCCTTTCAAAATTGGAGAAAAAAAATAAAAAATAAAAATCGAAGAAAAAAGAGCTAAAAATCAGAAAAAAATCGGAAAAAAATCAGAAAAAAATCAGAAAAAAATCAGAAAAAATTAAAAAAAAATTCCAAAAAATAGTGAAAAACTCCCAAAATTTTGGGGATTTTTCCCTGATTTTGGGGGGGTCTCCCAGACCCCCCTTTTTGTCTCTTTTTTCCTGGCTCTGCAGGGGATGGCGGCGGCGCCGGTGCCGTGGTTCCTGCAGGGGGGGATGGGCTGGTTCCCGAATTTGGCGGCCCCCGACCCCCTGTACGTGCTGCCCGTGCTGGTCACAGCCTCCACCTGGCTCGTCCTGGAGGTGAGAGGGGACGTTTTGGGGGAAAAAACGGGGATTTTGGGAAAAAAAACGGAGTTTTTCGGCGAAAAAATGGGATTTTTAGGCGAAAAAACGGCGTTTTTAGGTGAAAAAACGGATTTTTTACGGCAAAATTGGAGATTTTCAGATGGAAAAATTGGAATTTTTTTTGGTAGAAAAATGGGGATTTGGGGAAAGGAGGTTTTAGGGGGAAAAAATGGGGATTTTGGGGAAAAGAATGGGATTTTTGTGACAAAAAAATGGGATTTTTTTGACAAAATATGGGGATTTTAGGTGGAAAAATGTGGATTTTAGAGGAGGAAAAATGTGGATTTTAGAGGAAAATGGGATTGGGGAAAAATGGGGATTTTAGGTAAAAAAATGGAGTTTTTAGGTGGAAAAAAAAGGGATTTTTAAGGGGAAAAACGGGGATTTGGGGAAAAAAACGGAGTTTTTAGGCGAAAAAATGGGACTTTTAGGTGAAAAAATGGAATTTTTGGGTGAAAAAATGGATTTTTTTATGGCAAAAAATGGGGATTTTAGAGGGAAAGCTTTGATTTTTAAAGGGAAAAATGGGGATTTTTTAAGTGAAAAAAATGGGGATTTGGGAAAAGGAGATCTTAGGGAAAAAATTGAATTTTTGGGAAAAAAAATGGGATTTTTATGAGAGAAAATGGGATTTTTATGGCAAAAAATGGGGATTTTAGGTGGAAAAATGTGGATTTTAGAGGAGGAAAAATGTGGATTTTAGAGGAAAATGGGATTGGGGAAAAATGGGGATTTCAGGTAAAAAAATGGAATTTTTAGGTAATAAAATGGAATTTTTAGGTGAAAAAAAGGGATTTTTAAGGGGAAAAACGGGGATTTTGGGAAAAAAACGAGTTTTTAGGGGAAAAAATGGGATTTTTAGGTGAAAAAATGGAATTTTTATGGCAAAATTGGAGATTTTAGATGGAAAAATTGGATTTTTTTTGGTAGAAAAACGGGGATTTGGGAAAAGGAGGTTTTAGGGGAAAAAATTGGATTTTTTTGGTGAAAAAATGGAATTTTTATGAGGAAAAATGGATTTTTTATGGCAAAAAAATGAGGATTTGAAAGGGAAAAATTGGATTTCTTAGGTGGAAAAATGGGGACTTGAGAAAATCAAATTTTAGGGGAAAAATGGAATTTTTAAGCAAAAAATGGGGTTTATTTAGTAAAAAAATGAGGATTTTTGGGAGAAAAATGTGAATTTTAATGGAGGAAAAAAGGGAATTCAAGGGAAAAACGGGATTGGGAGAAATGGGATTTTTTGAGGAAATAAAATGGAGTTTTTGGGTAAAAAAAATATTGGAAGAAATTGAAACTTTTCAGGAGAAAAAGAGGAATTTTTTGGGGTAAAAAATGGGAATTTTGGGGCGGGAAGGGCAATTTTGGGAGGATAAAAAAACGAGGATTTTGATAAAAAAATCGGAATTTTGTCCAAGAAAACGGGAATTTTGTCCAAAAAAAATGGAAATTTTGAGGGGAAAATTGGGATTTTTGGAGGGGGTGGGCGTGGCTTAAAGTGGGCGTGGCCAAGTGCTTCAGGGAGGGAAAAAAATCACAATTTTTGTTGAAAAAACGCAAATTTTTGGTTAAAAATTCCGCTTTTTTGGGGGGGTTTTAATGGAAATTTGAACAGCAGGAAGGGGCGGGGCACCTTTATGCAAATGAGGGGCGTGGCTGATTTGCATTTCTCCGCAGCTGGGGGCCGAGACGGGCGTGGCCGCGCCGGGGGCGGGGCCTGTCCGTCAAATCCTGAGGTTCCTCCCCCTCGTCTTCCTGCCCTTCATCATCCACTTCCCCACCGTGAGTCGGGGGCGGGGCCTCTCCGAAAGGGGGCGGGGCCTCTCCAAAAGGGGGTGTGGCCATCTAAAAATAGGGTGGGGTCACTTTAAAAGGGGGGTGTGGCAGCTTTAAATGGGGTGTGGTCCCTTTAAAAGGGGCGTGGCCATTTATAAACGGGGGTGGCCACTTTAAAAGGGGGCGTGGCCATTTAAAAATGGGGCACGGTCACTTTAAGAAGGGCGTGGTCACTTTAAAAGGGGGTGTGGCCTCTTTAAATGGGGTACTGTCCCTTTAAGTGTGGGTGTGGTCACTTTAAGAAGGGCGTGGTCACTTTAAAAAGGGCGTGGTCACTTTAAAAGGGGGGTGGCCACTTTAAGATGGGCGTGGCTGTTTATAAAGGGGGTGTGGCCACTTTAAATGTGGGCGGGGTCACTTTAAGAGGGGCGTGTCTTCCTTTAAAGGGGGCGTGGCCATTCCAAATGAATCGGGTCCCTTTAAAAGGGGGTGTGGCCACTTCAAAAGGGGCGTGGCCGCTTTCAAATGGGGCGTGGCCACTTGTAATGTGGGTGTGGCCACTTTAAATAGGGCGTGGTCACTTTAAGAGGGTTGGGGAGCTTGTGATGTGGGCGTGGCCACCTTAAAGGAGGCGTGGTCCCTTAAAAGCCCCGCAATTTTCTCAAATGGGCGTGGCCTCTTTAAAAGTGGGCGTGGCTTCCACTCTTGGTGTTCCCGCCCTTTTCTTCCACCCCCAAAATCCCGGGAATTTCCCCCAAATCCACTTCCGGGTTCACTTCCTGGTTCACCACTTCCGGGTTTGTCATTTCCGGGTTCACTTCCTGGTTTGCCACTTCCGGGTTTTTCACTTCCGGGTTCACTTCCGGGTCCGGCACTTCCGGGTTTGGCACTTCCGGGTTCACTTCCTGGTTTTCAACTTCCGGGTTCGCCACGTCCTGGTTTGCCACTTCCTGGTTTGATACTTCCGGGTTTGCCGCGAGGCCCCGCCCACCGTGGGCGTGTCCTCGATGCTGATTGGCTCCTTTCCCCCCCCCAGGCCGTCTTCACCTATTGGCTGACGTCCAACGGCTTCAGCCTATTGCAGACGGGGCTGCTGCGAGTCCCCGCCCTCCGCGCCAAAATGGGCGTGGCCCCGCCCCTGGCCACGCCCCCGGCCCCGCCCACCGGCCCCGCCCCACGGGCCAAGGCGGGAATCCTGCAGCAGCTGCGGAAAGGTCGGGAAAAGGCGGGAAAATTCGGGGAAAATTCGGGGATTTTTGGGAAATTTTGGGGGGAAAATTTGGGAATTTCAGGAGAAGAACTCCTGGAATTTTGGGGGATTTTTTTGGGGGGGATTTTGGGAGAAATTTGGGGGTTTTGGGGGGAAAATTTTGGGGGATTTTTGGGATTTTTTGGGGG